GTACGGAGACAGCGTTGATGGAAGATATTCGTTGTGTATAACTATGTCATTTAATACAAAGGGAATTTAACTTTTTTATTTTTTTCAATCACACATGGTAGTTAATAATATAGTAAATCTGATACACCATATGCATATATGAATGTATGAAGCAGATGAATGTCCCAGCAATTTCTTGAAGATCAGTACTGCCAATGGAATGTCATTTGGAAGCTAGAGACATTGAGCAAACCATTTTTATCTCTTTATACCTCTATTTTCCCTTTAGAATCATAGAAACACTGAGGTTGAAAAAGAACTCTAAGATCATTAAGTCCAACTGTTAACCCAGAAACACTTTCAGGGCGCACTTCCCTGAGCAGCCTGTTCCAATGCCTGACAATTCCAATGTCCTCATCCTTTCCCTTCTCCTCTCCTTTAAGTAGGAAAAGTCTCATTGTCTTGCACTTGGAATCACAAATTCTCTGCAAAACTTCTGCCTTTTGCTCTTTAGTTTTGTACAATAACTATATCATAATAATAAATAAATCAAGAGGAAATTCCCTTGTCTAAAGGTAAAAAGTATGTAATGCCTGTATCCATGTATCTCAACATTCTTCTACCCCAAAACAGAGTATGTATGTCCCAACTGCCACTTAGTAACCATCCCCAATTGCTGTCACCAACGTCATACCTGAGTCTCACTCAAAAGTATTAGTTGATGTAAGATAAAATAATGCCAGCAGGCAAAAAGAAAGAATAAAATTATCAAGTACTATGGTACTGTTCTCTGAACCCATTTTATTTAGGACAGTTACAGTCAATATTCATAATTTCAGTTGCAGCTAATAGTTTCTATTTTATTATGAAAAATCATGTGACTTAGCATTAAAATACTTAGTTATTCCGAGAGGTGTTTTGGAATCCTTGCAGATGAAAGGTATCAGAAAAAAAATCATTGTAGAGAATTACCACAAAGGTTTTTTTCAAATATCAGAAACTAGTAGTCAAGAGGAGTAGGGTGAGTGTACAACATGAAAGAAAATGTCAGCTATTGGGTCTGAACATTACATAAAATGAGGAAGAGCTGAAAATCACTTACAACCAAACTGGTTTTATCTACACAATTAAAACTCCTATTTCCTTCTGAAATCTGTTCTTTAGTTATTCTGGTATGTGAATGTATTATTTATTCTCTAATGAATTTTATTTATGAGGGTATCTCCTGGTATATGCCCTATGGATTACAGATGCAATAAGGACAAACAGGTGAAGCCTAGCTGAACTCAATTAAGTTGAATAACAGTTAAGTTAAAATAACATTGTTTCACACTTAAAAGTCAACACACTCACCTTTTTATTTGAGGTTAAGTCCAATTCCTCAAGGTGCATGAGGTAAATATTTACTGAGCATTTAAAATGTTTTCCATGAATAAAAAAACTCTAGAATGCTACAAGCACTAGTGACTTGCCGTCTTTCATCTCTGTCACAGGCAGGCAATGCACTGCATAGTATGTCATGAGTGGAGTGTTTATTGAAGGATATTTTTTCCTCCCCTTGGGGCTGTATAGCATAATTTATCTGATGTGCACTCTCCTTGGCCACTCCATTTTCTGTTTATCTCAGTATAAAACAGGTGCTGTGAGGAATCCACAGCTTTCGGAAATCCCAACACTTTTGAAAGACTTCAATTGGAGATACCAGGAGTGAATCGGAATCAAAATGGAACAAAAAAAAAGCTAAGAGGAAATGGAAATGTTGTTTTCTTGTGGATTCCTATAAAGCTACTGTGTGGTTTTGGGACTTTAGTTCCTTCTGCACATTTGGAAATGAAACAAAATAATTCTTCACTTAACAAAACAAGGGGTAAGCAAAATGCATTTGTGGTGTAAAAAAAAAGTATTCATTAATAGATGGAGGTTTTTCTTGTGAGCCCATGGCATTCCAATGACAGGTACTTTCACTGCTCTTGAAGTGTCCTTTCATAGCCTTCTCAGTTGAATGGTTAATCCGGAGCAACTCCAGGATCAGATGATGAATAAAAGTATAAATCTTATCCTAGTTCATTTTCCTGCATAGCTTCACAAGAGAGATTAGTTTCATGAGCCTTCTTTAATTTCAGATGTAGTTCTTTCCCCTTAGAGCTCTGAACCATTTTCAAAATCTTGTTAAATATCTTTCCCCCCTATAGAAATGATGTACAAAAAGGTCCCCAACATAATCTGCTTATAAGATCTGGGTTTGTAGTGGTGTCGCATCCATCCCATGTCAGTGCCTTACACTGTTGTCTAAGGAACCACCAACAACCCTAGCTCTGGACCAACAGTTAAATATTCACAGCCAACAGAGCCAAACAGCTGAAAACAAGAGAGCACACAGCGCATCAAAGTCCAGGAAAATGGAGCTTTAAATCCCTACAGGAACTTAGGCCATCAATGGACAATGACATTATTGTCTTGCATTACTTTTACCACAAGAAGCCTTCTTGCAAGTTCCCTGTTTTTTCTTTTGCTTTTTTCTTTTACCTCTGTTGCAAAGCCTAGAGATTAGCCCATAGTGGAAGAAAACGTTTGTGAGAATGAACATATTTGTGGAACATAGCCACTCCACACCTTCCCACACTCTACGCATGATTCTTGCTGCACAGCAGATAAAGAAAACACTCTGCTATACTGACTAAGGGTAGGTCAAAGACAAACAAAAGTCCTCAGTAGGTAAAACTAGTTAGTTTTTTGTGGGGATGTGGGGGTGGTTGGTTTTTTGTTGTGTGGGGTTTTTTTTTAATACCAATTTGGAACCAAATCTATTGAAAAGATACAGGAGGCTCCAACATCCTTGGGATCTCTGAAGTGCAGAACCGCATGTAGAGAGACTATACCCCTTCAGCTGTCCTTGTCTGATGCAGCCACAAGAATGCTTTGGTTGGATGATGGAAAGTGCCATTAGTTTACACCTGTCCCCAGCAGTTACTGGCTGGGGACTTATTAATCTATGGCTGAGTAGTCACTTCTCAGTCACTACCTTGGAACCACTGTGAATAAATAGAAAGGATAGAAAAAAAATGCCTGCACTTTTTCTTTCTTTGTAAACACTTCCAGTTCATACTACATTTTTTACAATTAAATTGTATAGCACTGCCACAGGTATGGATACACCCAGAATGGTCTGGTAGAATTAAGGATTTTTGTTTTGACTTGAAAGACTTTACAGTTTAGATTTCTAAGAAAGGATATCACTTTCAGTTTACTGAATGAAAGTCATATACTGAATAACAACTTTCTTATAATTACTCATGACAACTCCCACTGCAGCTATGAAAAAAAAACAAACAACAGTAAAAAGACTCTTATTTGCAATCTGTAATTCCTGAGGTCCTTATTCATAAAAGCATCTCAAGGCCTAAATTTAGTACTGCTGTACATAAAAAAATACCATACAAAATTAAGTATGATTTGGAGTCTGGAGCAGTTCAGGTTCAACATATTTTTTAAAAATGATGCTTATGTACTTCTACATTTGAATGCTGTTGCAGAGAGTTGGCAATTTGTATTTAGGACAAAAGTAGACAGCAAAGGTCTTGTGGTACCAGATTCAGCTAGAGATAACAGAGGTGACATTTGCTCCAACCTGCTATAAAAAGGTTACAAGTAGGCTTTTCCACTAAAGCTAGTCAAAAAGAGAGTCTTTGTACTAGCCCTTTTCTATAACATGATTTCTCCATGCTACTGAAAATGTCCACATTACAAAAAAGTGACCAAAGAAGGTCTCTTTTTTTTTCTCTGTTAACTATAGAGACAATCCTGATGGCTACAATGAGTTGTCTAAATTGTAGACATCTAAAAATGCTTAAGTGAGCCTCACCTTGAGGACTGTGGTCCCTTTGGGTGTCAGTACAGAAAACGACCAAGATAGTCCATGGAAGGGCCTACAGATAAAATGTATTTGAAAGGAGACTGTTGCCATAAATCAGAGAAAGAATTAAGACATTCACGTCTGAAAATGCCAAAATGTAGGCTGGTCGCAAAGAGGAAGGGCAGAGACAAAAGCTGCTATTGTTGCCTGTTGCCTGAGCTTTCCCAAGGGGAAAGGACATCTGTGTGCAACAGGTCAGATTGGGAACAGTGGCTGGTGTCCTGACAGTTAGTGAGACAGCTGTCAGCACAGTCCTTGAAAGTTTCCCTGAAGCTCTCACTAGAACTTCTGGTTTCACAGACACCATTTTACAAGCGTTCCTGTAGAATTGATGCTTGAGACACCATGAGATCATCCTTCTAATAATGTACTGAAAAGGCAGTGCATTACATTAGTTGACTCCTGGTGTACTCCATTTTGTGCTCAATACATCATTTTTCCTGTCTCATTTAGGATCCACTTGTTGAATAAAGGGTAAGTGTAAAGATCTCATTAGGTTTACATCAGTATCATTACTTTTCTAGTAATTACTAGCCCAAGGTCTTTTCCTTCTGGTGAACACATTTGAGCGAATTTTCCTTTTTCCCTTTGGTGGTTCAGAAAGGAAACACTGATGTTGAGCTAAGAGGAAGGATTACCTACATATTCCCTTTAGGACAGTATGCACATGTCAGCACATTGTCTCAGAAAGGAAAGGTTTCTCTTTGTTTTGGGAAGATCTATTTCAGGTCCAGCCAGAGGCCACATCATCAATTCTTAACACAGAGTTACTTGAATGAGACATAGCTTCAGGCTGTATATGCACATGATGCATTTTAAACTGCAGTGAACAAAATGGGTGATATAAATCAAAGGTTTATGTGTCAGTCTTCCCTTACACAAAGATGTTTAAACTAGACAAGCAGACTTGTGTTTACCTGGTGTGTCATAAGAATGATACATAGAATACATACTGCTATGACCCAGTTGACACTCTTTCTATCTTTTAGATATGCGCAGGTATAGGAGAGACCACAAGTACATGCTTTATGTATACTTGACTGGACTGTCTTCTTTTTTTTCCCCTACTCACTAAAAAGGCTGGCTATAATTGCATGGTATTACTCACCTGCCCAGCAGCAAAAATTCTCCAGCAAGTCCCAGGCGTCTCATAGCCATTAAGAGACCTCTCACAGTCATGCCTTCACAGAAGCAAGCAACCACTCTTGCCTTGGGCAGGTGGCTCCGAAGCTTTCGCAGCAGCTTGTCAAAGCTCTGTTCGCCAGCATTGCTATAGATCTTGTAGGAATGTGCAATGCAGATCCCTTCCTTGGCTGCCATATCTTTGAAAGCTTCCATTCCACTTTCGCCATAGTTTCCTAAATACAAACAGAAACATAGATGCATATATCAAAATTTGCAGTAGCTTTTCCTTCACAAGCATCAGATATTTTAAAGAATATGTTACATATCTGCACAGAGATCACTGTACCAATCTTAGCAAAATCATATTAACATTTTAATTACTCCGTTTTTCAAGACAAGATCAACAAATTTTCCCAGAAAACTCACTTGTCTTTAAGAGCCTGTATCTCTGCTAAAACCAAAGGCTGTTAAGTGCCTCACTACCTGTGAGGATCTGGTCCACAATATGTAAAACAATGTATGTATAAATTACAATCTCTTCTGATTAAGCTGAGTAAACTTGGTCAAGTGCTCTGGGGTTTACTTCAGGAAATTAAAAAATATATGTTGAGAATAATTTTTTAGGTGTAATATTTTAAATATAAGCAAAAAACCAAAAGGATAATAACATCACCCTCTTCATAATGCAATCTGAAATGCAATATTTTTTTAGTTATAGTTTCTTAGTTATAGTTTAGTTATATTCCTTCAACTTATTTTGTTGAAAGAAGAACTTCTGCTGGAGAATGAGTGACAAAATTGAGGATTAGCATTACAGGGATCACAAGACCACAGATGAACTAAAGGTGCTTTTGGTGGTTTTTCTGGGGGTATTTTGAATTAAATGTCTATCAATGGGAAACACTTCATATTTTTTTTAATCTATTCTTCCTCTATGGGGGTAAACTGGTAACAGATATTAACAGACAGATACATTTATTTTCTTTATTCTGTATCATCACAGAAACTTTCTTTACTGCCAGGCCTACAACAAAGTCATAATGCTTTAACAGTGAATATACTGATACCACTGACAGTCCTCCTGACCAGGATTGTATCTCTGGTTCCCCGTGCTTCTCCATCTGGCTGTTGAAATCTGTTTCATATCTCATTTAAATAAGAAGGCCTTTAACTCAGGAAATACTTCTCGAAAATATTGTCTGAACCCCTCAGTAATAGTCCACAGAAACATAATCAGTAAATTAATTAATAAAACTGTGAGTGTAGTCATGCTGTTGAAAGGAACTTCTGATCCTTCACACATTTGCTAGCTCACAAATCTATAAGAAAAATGCTCTCTCTTACCAGCATAGTTGCAAGTACATAGAAGCAGTGACAATGAAAATGCATGTGAAGCACTGAGAGTCAGGCATGTGGATTTGGACTGCCATCTGATTTTTTGACTTTGGACATTAGAGCCATCAGACATTCAGCTTGCCCATCTGGGGATTCATCCCTATCACTGGTGCTAAAGCTCAGAGGCTTTGCTATGCTCAGCACTGAACATGAATGTAAATAAAGTCTTCAGTTTGAGGATCTTGCCATCTGAATAGCCAAAAGAGACAAAGAGCAGAAGACAAGAAATAACATTATCTTCCTTTTACATCAGGAATGAATCACTGAGACTTTGAGACTGGTAAATTTCCAAATTGCATCCAACTAGAATGGCAACTTGAATGCAGATCTCCTTAACTATTAGGACTTTCATTTTCCTCCCTGCTGTGATTAGGCCTAATGGAAAACATATTACTATGTAAATTGTGTCTTCACAAAATGCCATTGGATTTTTAAACTCAGTTGCAGTGCTTCCTGTGAGTTTTATATCAGGTGCACAGTGCTTCCCCATGTGTCATGCCCTTAGGGCAAATTGTTTCCTGTGATACATGAGCATCAAGTGATTCTCATGAGATGCTGAAGCAGTTCAGCCAGAGGTCATAAACATAGTGTCTCATGAAATATGTATTATAGCCTCCAAAGTTAGTCTGAAGGAAAAATGGGGGTCAGTCATATTTAATTCCCAGCAGACTCTGAGGCCTTCTAAAATAAAATTAAGCTGAGAGGCAATGCACTACTTTGTTTAAAATTATTCTCATTTAGGTCAATCTGGATCAACATTAAATGTTCTGTTTCACTTTTCTAATATAAAACAAAAAGGAAAAAGTGACCCTATTAATCTTTGCCATAGAAGGTGAAAGTTTGAGGAAAAACTGTTCCATAGAGTATCTTAAAGAGATTGAAATTCTGAAGACCTCCTCTTCTGTCAAAAAATTCTCAATAGAAAATTCCTGTCCAGATCTAATTGAATTACAGAACTGTATAACTTCAGTGCTCCATATACTGCAGTCTTGGTTTGAAAGTGTTATAAGCATACAAACTGTTATCTTGAGACTTGCTATAAAGCTGAGAGTAGGTATAATTACAGTACCGAAAAATTGTAGGTCTTCCAAGGACTGTGAAGTGCATCAATTCTTTTCCAAACAAATAAAGTCTACTCTGGCACAAACATCATGATTTCATCAAGTATGAAGACAGGGAGATTTTGTGAAACCATATAGAATGTTATGTGCCATCCAAAATCACAGGAAACTTTAAACTACCAAGGGTACTTAGCAAAGTGTTAGGTTCTCAATATTTGGAAGAGAAACATCCTGGTAGTCCAAATACAAGAGTGACTGAGCTCTCAAACTGGGAAAACTACAGCTCTATAACATGACCTCAAGGGAGATTTGATGAAAACACAAAGCAGTTTTGCTTCAAGACACTCATACAAATGTATCAGTGGTACTCTTATCTTGCTGATTAAACTCTACTTGATTAATTATTCATAGTGAATTCTCCTGTTGTGCAAGAGGTTTGATGAGGTACATATATTTAGTTTGAGCTATACTGTGGGGGTAATGAACACTCCTTGACAGAAAAAGAAAATATTTTTTTGTTAAACTCCTTTGCACGACATATTAGGATAAATTTTCTGTGGGCTATCTTTCTTCCTGAATAAAACCTGTATGTGCATGAACATATACATGTAGCATTGAGGGAATGAGGGTGTGAAAATGGTAAGTTAGATTATATCATTTTCCTGAGGATGAGATGTGAGGTTCACAGTGGAAGAGGATCTCTGTGCTTTACGTATGGAACTGTCCTCCTCACGGACATTTCATTCTTGTACTGTGGCATACCCATAGCAATATCACCAAAATTGCCACAGCAAGAGTAAGTTTTTGCTGATGGGGCAGTTCCCATTGTTCAACCAGGTCTATGACACTAGAAGAAGGATATAGGGACTTCAGGATTTGCACACGTGGATGGACAATGGTGATGTCTTATGCAGCCCACTCTGAGAAGGAGTTTTTTAGTTTCACTTCCAAGTGAAAATTAATTCAGAACTCCTAAACTGGAAACAAAGTAACATCTTCTGTAAGTACCCTGTGATGAAAATTACCTACATACTGGGAATTTATCCATTCAGCTATTTGGTTCCCAACTCTAAATTTAAAGATCCTAAGGAAACATTAAACAGAAGGTTTACTTTTTCTTGTTTAGTTCCAGTTCAGCAGAAGACTTGGCAAACAATACAGGCTGAAGCTCATGTATGGCCAATTTATATTCAGCTCCTCTTCCCCCACCAAATGCTTTTCAGCATTTGGAAACAGACATCTCTATCTGTAACTGGTTCTGCTGGTGGAGGTATCAAAATTTTTTAGTAGATGTTCCTGTCCCCTTGAAAGTTTGTCTGTCTGTGGTGTAATCAGAACTGTTAGCAGTTGATGACTTTTGTAAAATATTCTCACGGAGACAACTGGCTGCTGGGTTCTTTTAAAACATCAGCCTGAATCCTGCATGTTGTCTACCTGAATGTCTGGCCCTAAACCCAGTTCAAAAAATACTCCCATATGGTGCAGCATGTTTTTTAAAAAAAAGAAAATCAATTACATCATCATGCAAAAAACTTATCTGTGCTTCGGAGCTGGAATTTTGTTCAAAACTCAAGCATATGTGTCCCCACCTACAATCTAACTATAACAATCTGTTAGTTCCACTTCCCATGAATCAGTACTAGAAACTATTAAGAAGCTTAAAAAGAACAGATTGTGCTTTTTTCCAGATGAAGCTTAATATAGTACAGCACATAATAATACTTCAATCTGATAGAAAAGGGTCAGGCAAACTGCAGGCTGCTCTTGCTGCTCCTCCTGCTCAGTAATTGAGCCAATTAAACTACCTAACCATAAATCGTTAAGATCTTATGTGAATTACACAGGAAAACAACATTTTTATTCTTAAAATAATTAACAAAATGCGTGGACATCTGCTCTATCACATTAAAAGTTATCAATATGATATAAAAAGTCTCTACAGCCAAATGGAATAATGGACTACATTTCCTCCTGCCTAGTCATTTTTGGAGTGTCACACATTTCTTTTTGAATACAGGAGCTTTTTATCAATAACTGTACATGCAAATTGTTATCAGATAGTTGTTTGGTCTAAAAGAGAGTTTCAGCGAGCATAGATGAGCATCAACCTTTAGGAGAGATTTAGGATGTAAAATTGCTTCTGGCAGGACACAGTAAAAATTCACAAAGTAAAAGAAATGGAGCCTCGACTGAAAGAGAAGAAATGCATTATGTCATTCATTAGACTGGTAATAATCCTACCTGTCACAAAGCATATTTATTTAAGCAGACATGCTATCATTATTTCTAGAGAAAAGGAAGAGCACACCAGAATAATATTCTGGGCTGTATCTGAGCCACAGACAAGAAGTCAAGTCAGGTTAAATTTCGCAGTATATGTTTTGCAAGCAATATAGGGAAAACAGAGTTTCATTTTTTTACTAGCTTTCCTTTGCATCAAAAGGATGAACTTTGCCAGAAATACCAAAAAAATATAAATGTATAGTTGTAAGTATAATTTTGAAAATGCATGTGGGAGTAATAGGAGATATTTATGAAAGGTAACATGTTGGTTGATTATGAGGATGATCTTTCTGAAAGTTGAGGATATGGGGTGTAGAATAATTTCCCAAATGGAAATTTTAGAGTGTCTTTGACTGTTACAATTCAAATTAATCATGGCAAAACACCAATAGTACCTGTTACTACTGGTACCTACTAGATATTTTCCACATTTAACTGTTGTGACTATGAGTCTTTTAAAGTACATCACTACTAAGAATAGGGACATAATATCA